AATGTCAAAAGCACATAACAAAAACAAATAATACTAATATTTACTACAAAAATAATACTAAAACTATTTTGTATGGCCAACAATATAATACCAAATGTATTGTTAATATTTTGGCCAGTACTAAATACAAGCTCTTTGTGAACACTTATACTGTATCCATCTTAATGTTATTCATTTTATTCTCGTTTCTTTTCAGGCGGAGAAAGGTTGTGATGTGAACACCCTCAGCGTGCCAATGGTCATGCGTAGAGGAGGTTCAGAGACGTGTCTAGATCTGGATTCTGATCTGGTGGTACGGGACAGCCCACGATCACGTACTGGTCTGGACACCCTGCAGCAGAAAGTGCTAAAAGTGAAAGAGCAGCTGAGAATTGAGCAAAATTTACAGGATGAGAACGTGGCTGAGTATCTCAAACTCATTAACAGTGCCGACAAGCAGCAGAGCAGCCGCATCAAACAGGTGTTTGAGAAAAAGAACCAGAAAACGGCACACAATATCATTCAGCTTCAGAAGAAGCTAGAGCAGTATCAACGCAAGATGAAGGAGTGTGACATCTCAAATGGGACCAAACACACGCCACCACACTCCAAAGAAAATGAGATGCCCAAATACAACCTCAAGGAAAGTGTAGTCACAGGAAGTGGGCGCCACCCACATTTGGACAAAGCCAAAACTATTGGCCCGGGAGTTTCACTGTCGCCACCGTTCTTCTTCAGCAAATCCAGAGAGATTGCAAACCTCATTCGCAACAAATTTGGTAGCGCGGACAACATTGCACACCTGAAGAGCACCATGGAGACGGGAAGTGGGCTGCAGACAGAAGGGGGAGCCCGAAATCTGAGCGGCAGCGCCACAATAAGCCCTAAACCCAAATACCCAAGTGATGACGAGTGCTCCACAGAGACGTCAGTGTCGATTGAGAGTAATGGTCATGTGACTGGATCAGGTGTGACAGGGCAGCACAGTATGTCTGGGAGAGAAGGAGGCCAAGGGGAAAACAGCAGCCGGCTGGTGGAAGCTTGGGAGGAGATCAGGGAGTTGAGAGAGACTCAGAATCTACTTGCAGAAGACATTGAGACTCTGAAGACCCAGTTTAAATGTGAATTTGAGAATATTACACAAACACTACAAGAGGAGCGGTACAGGTAAATAGTCTTTCGATAACATTTTGATATAACGAACAATCGATAGATCGATAACGTTCAACATTGAATTAATTGTGCAAGCTCATTTATCGTATTTATAAATTTTGATTACCTTTACCATTGTCTAATGCTCATTTAAAATTCATTTTTTAAAACACTATGCAAAAATTACATTTTACACATTACATTATAATGTAATTGTCATGTCAACTCTGAGAGTTTAGCATGGTAATATATATGGCAATGTTAATGTGTTTGGTCTTGGCGGAATAGATCTGCTACGCTGCTGCTGCGGCAGAGCAAGTACCGAGACTTGCTACTGCCAATACATCCACAACATGCTGCTGTGAGAATGCAGGAAATACTACTGCTGCACATATAACATATATGAAATAACTCCCACATATAACATACATGAAATTACCCCGTAGCAGATCAATACAGGTGGAGCTGGGGAAGGTGGAGAGTTTCTGAAGTGTGCTGCAACCGCTCCAGCAAACACCAGCCGAGTATTTGAGCTCGTTTGCTGCTGATACGAAAAGAATCAGCTGTGGCATGCGAATAATGATGTCATTGTCAGATTGAGTTCGACCCTATCAGCCTGTGCCATCTAGAGTTTCATGACAGAAATTTAGATTTATAATGTTGTTGTACATTATAGTGTTATTTCTAAAATTCACTTTTAGCACTTAAAACCAACTTTAGTGTTCTATTTATTTATTTAGACAAAAAATATATAAATAGTATACATTTTATAATATCAACCATTTATATTTCATCATCTGTCATATCATGTAAGTAATTATCAGCTTATCACTTGAATATCAAATATCATAGGCTCCCACATGTCTTGTGATCATTTGTGGCATGTTGGGACATCAGCATCTCATGCTGGAGACCAACATACAAAACTTAACATAAGCTGGTCTTTTCAGCCAGGCAGACACCTTCATTTCCTCTATATCTTTCACACACTCTCACTAATTGTTGTTCTTCTGTATTAGGTGTGAGCGGTTGGAAGACCAGCTGAACGACCTCACAGAACTCCATCAGAACGAGACCGCAAACCTCAAACAGGAGCTAGCCAGCATCGAAGAGAAGATGGCCTATCAGGCTTGTGAACGAGCACGAGATATACAGGCACAGACATACACAAAAACACTCACATACACTACAAACATGAAAGGACTTATCCTAAACTTATGCAAAGCGCTCAATAAATGGAAAACCAGCCTAATGTTACTCCGTGTTCTAACCAGCTGCAACGTGATAATGCAGTGAAGTTATCTTTTCCATGTTGATCTGAGCTTTAGCCCAAACCAGCCACAACGACAACAACCCACACTAAAATCTCACTCCACATAACTGTATTTTAGACACCAAATATGTTCTGATTTTGAATTCAAATTTAAGACAAATACTTCAGTTTTGACGCCAATGCATAGATTGAGCATACAGCCAAATGCATATTTTGAAAGTATACTCAATTTTTATAGCATACACGAAAAAAGTCGACACACAAGTAGTAGAAAGTTTCGCCTTTGTCCAGTGTTCAGGCTATTGCTCTACTGAAGTCGTGAGCAATAAAAATGTCTTTGTAGTTTTTTTTAAACTAGAATTGCAGCGTTCTCTTTTTTTTTTTCGGCTGTGAAATAACAGTCTAGGTCAGTGTTGCAGGTGTTATAGTACCAGGGCTCGCAAAATTTTTTTGTTTGTTTTTTTGTTTTTTGGGGCTAGTTAAATTAATTTTCGGGCTACCAAAATCTGAAGAGTATCTGCCCGAAGGGCTACCAGGGATTTAGAAATTTTGCAAGCCCTGAGTACTCCAGGGTTCCCTCTTGGTACTAAAGCACATTCACATGTCCACTCTTCGAAAACAGTGCTTTCATTCTCTTAATTAAATTTGCATATATATAGAATATACTGCATGTTAGCTTGCTTATTTTGCTTGAGAGCATGATCTATTTAAGTCTGCATGTCATAGTAACAAGACGCTAGGTTTCTAACCACAGGTTGAGAGTAGTAGTTCTGACCACAAAACTTTGTGATTCTGTTTGCGAATGTTCGATGGAGCTATGGTTTTGGAAAACACAGAATCTTTAAACTATGTTGATGACAGAACTTGCGACCATAGTTGCCTAACGATGCTTTTGGGAAACGCACCCTAGGTTGGGATGCTTACGATCGTGTTATTGTTTTTCATTAAGTAAACCAAGTTAATATTGAGCCCTTACCTTTTAGACATAATTTGGCCATTTAGTTTGACAATTTTTCTGTAGATCTTCACCAACAAAAATGGTTCCAAAAGAAGCCAGAGCATCAAGCTTTTGTAAAACAGACTGGAATAATGCATGCAACCGCAAGTTCCTTTCCTTGTTCCAAGCGCTCATAATCACTCCAGGTTTCCAGTGGACGTTATATTAAATATCAGCAATTTTGGACCGCTGCTTTGACAATTAGATATGAGAACTGGAATTGTTGTATCGCTTTCTTTTCCTTTCCGCAGGATGCTTTAGAAGTTTGTCAGACGCGAGTGAGTAAGTTGGAGTTACAGCAACAACAGCAGCAGGTCTTGCAGTTGGAAAGCGCCGACGCCAAAGTGCTGCTGGGAAAATGCATCAACATCATGTTGGCCATCGTCACCGTGATCCTAGTCTGCGTCTCCACTGCTGCTAAGTTTTCCGCTCCACTGATGAGGAGTCGTCTACACATGTTTGGGACTTTCGTATGTGTGTGCCTACTGGTATATAGCTGGAGCAACTGGGAGCATTTGCAGTGTGCAATAGAACGGATGCTGCTGCCTAGATGAGGGACATGAAACACGTGTCTGCATGCGTGTTCAGTGATGTTCTCGTCAGATAAAGTGCTCCTCCTGGGATATTCCCTTTACAATGTGACTGTCCCAAGATGATGGCTTTAACACTTTCTCTTTTTTACATTTTTTTGTCTGTTGTGTTTTTGTGTGGATGTGAAAGAGTATTCATGATGTACTGTAGCACAGCAGCAGGTCTTGCAGTTGGAAAGCGCCGACGCCAAAGTGCTGCTGGGAAAATGCATCAACATCATGTTGGCCATCGTCACCGTGATCCTAGTCTGCGTCTCCACTGCTGCTAAGTTTTCCGCTCCACTGATGAGGAGTCGTCTACACATGTTTGGGACTTTCGTATGTGTGTGCCTACTGGTGTATAGCTGGAGCAACTGGGAGCATTTGCAGTGTGCAATAGAACGGATGCTGCTGCCTAGATGAGGGACATGAAACACGTGTCTGCATGCGTGTTCAGTGATGTTCTCGTCAGATAAAGTGCTCCTCCTGGGATATTCCCTTTACAATGTGACTGTCCCAAGATGATGGCTTTAACACTTTCTCTTTTTTACATTTTTTTGTCTGTTGTGTTTTTGTGTGGATGTGAAAGAGTATTCATGATGTACTGTAGCAGAAACGGGTCCATCTCTGTGACTGTATTGTGTTATTTCAAATAGATTTTGTTAGCGGTCTTAAAAGTAAAGGTTAACCACCATTTTACATGTTTTATGTGCTTATTTTTTAGGTGGTGATGGCTCACAAAAACACATCTCGGTAATATTTCATTCCACAACCATAAGAAAAAAATATTTTGCATAAAGAAAATGAAGACTAATTAGAGACCCTAGTGTTTTTGCGTTTTATTTCATAATTGTTTTGTATTGTGACATTATTGTCATTATATATTTTATCATGGGTGTTTTACTTTTGAGCAATTCTCATTATTCTTGATCATTATAATTAGTTTCTTATTACTGTGATGCATTTGATTCTATTAGGAAACAAGAATTTACGATCATTTTAATAAGTAACTTTTTTTCTTATTTTGATTGCAGTAATGAGAATGTTTGGGAGATGTGTTTAATTATCATACTGTTAGAATGCAAAAAAAAAAATTAATAATGGTCTTAAATGTTTGATTTTCTTTATGCACTAAAATGTATACTTTGTTTTAAATTTGGGGTGAAATGCAAACAAATACACACGTTTTAGACATGCTTTGTGAGTTTCATCTGTATACTGTTTTATAGCATTATTTGTACTAATGAAATGGCCTAAAGTTCTTTTCACTGGCACTTTAAACACATCACCCAGGTTTATGAGAATCTGTGTTTTTTTTGGTTTGTTTTTAATTCTTTAGTCTGAGCAGTGGTTCTCTGTACTGACCACAAAAGATGGAAACACTGTCTTTTTGTTTGTTATGCAATAGAAATGCCTTGGGGTTATAGAAACTAGAACATGAGAAGGAAACAAATGTCTCTGTCAAGTTGATGTAACATTCTGAATTGTTCCTCATGGAAGTTAGAAAGACTATTTTTATATACATTTGTTTAATTTGCTTTAATGATTCCCACAATGGAAACCGATTTCAGCATTATTACCACTGTCCCTTTGAGTGTGTGCCTACCTGTGGTTTTGACTGAAGATTGTATAAGCCACAAAATCTGAATTTACCCATCAACCTGAACTAAAATGTGGTGTTGTACTAGAGTTAAAGTGGCCTTTTACCTATAAACATGGGGAAAGTGATTTTATTTGTTTTATACATGCTTCAGTGTCCATGTGGTAGGAGACTGTACTGGTCTTAAATATTATCTAAACTTAACAATAAATGGCCTAATTTTTACTGAAATTTGATTATTTGTCGATTCTTTATTTACTCAACCACCTGATGCATTTCTCATTAGATGGAACCATTTTGGTTTTTCTTGTATTTTTTATGAAACTGTAGTTGTTCAGTTCATTTTTATATAACCTGCCTGTGCTGTTTGACATTAGTTACCTGAAAGATGAGACCTGAAGCGTTGAATGTCTTTCATGATTTTCAAAGGTCATTGATGACGCTTATGTTTCAGCGACTTTCAGATGGTTGTCGCCCTCTTGTGGTTGATGAAGGAAACGGAGCTTGAATGAACTTCGGTATGAAACTACAGGGGAAAAAAGCTTCCATTAATGTCATCTGACTAGTGGAATAATAAACTTAAGCTGATGATACACGGGGCAACTTTTTGAGCAATGATGCCGGGCAACCAGGTGAGACACAGGGCCCACGACCGACAAAGTATCCAGATGGAAATTTGTTACCCATTATCAATGGGAAAGTTCCCAAGCAAGCAACATTGCTCAAAAAAAAGTTGCCCCGTGTATCATCAGACTTACAAGCATGACAGCCACTCCACTATATTTAACAAAACTCCAGGCTAGATCTAAAGAGCGAGCTTTTAAATCCGAAAAGACTGCCGGACATCGAATTTACCCCAAACGATTCAGTACTTGAGTGAACCGATTCAGTCGGAGTATTGTTTAGCTTACCGTTTGACGGATTCATTAAGAAGAACCGACTCAAAAGATTGAACTATTTGCCAATAGGATATTGCTAGTACATATTCTAGAGACGACTATACTGATGATGTTGTAATAGTTGAATTGTTATCAAAAAAACTATTAGTTTGTACACATACAGAGTATCTACTGAAAATGTAGTTAAGATAACAGCGTCGCTACTTGTAGTTAGCTACTCCGCAACAATGTTTCAAGATTTTCAGTCAAGACTATTTCGTTTTTGTAAAATTATCTATTCGCAAACCTGTTTTCTTGAATCTTGAGTTAGGCTGTTACTGTGTCTGATTTACTGACCTTTTTCTGTCTCAAATGTCACTGCAATATGGAAGGCGGAAGGAGCCAAAAGTCTTTACATGGTCGCATTTCACGCGTTCCGTTTAAAGACATTTGGCTCCGTCCGCCTTCCATACTGCAACTTCACCATTGAAATCAATTAAACCGACAGTTTAGAGAAGATTGCGTCACAACGTAATTTACATATGTGACCCGTGCTGGCAAAATCGAGTCGGAATGCGCACGGGCTAATTTTGAGCTACAGGCAAAAAAAGTGATTTTTTTTTTCGATTTTGAGGTTTTCACAAAAATGAGTTCATTAAGCCCTCGTCTAGCAATCCCAAATGCTCCAAATAATAATTTTAGATGTTTAATTATCTTTATTTGTACGTTTTCTGAGGCCTACCTTTCTCCGCTCGCTTCTCACGCTGACTGAAATTATATTAGATCTGTGCATTACAGTAGGTCTTATAGCTATATCAGTCTGTCTCATTAATGTTAACAATAAAAGAAAAGAGGAAATCACTCGCTGCTCTTGATTGAACTGCTTTTGTAGTTTTAATAATCAATTTATTTGTAATGAACAGACTAAAGGGATTTTTACATTTGATTAGGCCTGTTTGTTTTTCTTACTTGAATGCTTTTGTTTAGATAAATGAAAAAGGTAATGCATTATTTGTTTCTTTCTAATATTTGTTCTACTGTTTTTTTTTTTTTTGCATCTGTTCTTATTTATAATAACAAAGATCAAATAAAAAATAGCTATATTGTGATTATTATTATAGTAAATATTATTAAGAAAAGAACTGGAGGAAAAGATGCAACGTTGCTCTGTGATTTTGCTTTGGAACCTTCAGAAAACTTTTAACTCGATTTTTCTCAAAATTGACTTTGCTGATTCTAACAGGTGTAGCTCAGTCATTTTTCGTCCGATTCCATACATCATTCTGAAGGTCTTTTAATAGAGAATGTGAAAATAAAAAGAACTCATTTTTGAAAATTTGCTCATTGTGACTCATTTTGCCAGCACAGGTCACATGTGCAGTTGACGCAAGCTTTTTATTATTATTATTATTATTAATAAATGGTTATTGTATTATCAATATTATGTGTTTAAATATTTAATAAACATCGTATATAGTTGTTTTGATAATTTTGCTGTTTCCAAAACAATGCAAAAAACGAAACAATAAGCCACAGTGGTTTATTGCTTCATCACATAATCTAAAGGAATTTTTATTTTGGCATTTCATTGTCACCATACTTAGTTTTAACAAGCAAATCCAACCTGATTTGCTGCTCACAACCATGGAGGGGCTTATTCCGTCCAGAGGAATGTTTGTTGATATTGCACACTGCAAGATTCCTCATATTTAGGACACAATAAACTGGAGGAGCTTTTTTCATAGTTTCATAGAAAAGGCAAAAATATGCATATTGAAAGGGACATAGTTTTTTCAGTGTGATACCTTGAATTGGTCAGGCAGTTAGTAACTTATTTTTGACAATACAAAACTGCATTTACATGGTTGACATCTGATTATAGTCTGAGTTTATAACATTATTAATTCGTTTTTGGTCATAGTAGTTAAGCGCAGGTGCTGTAGATGGTGATTTTCTGACTGAGTTCTTGCAGTACATCTCTGGCCTCATTCTCCAGCCCATCCGTCTCCTGAGCTTTCTCCACCAGAATGTGCTGATTTATCACAAATGATCTCTCCAACTCTGGAAGAGTTAAAGAGAAAGAAAAGTGAGGAATCATAGGTAAATCTATAATCTAATATTCAAGTCTGTGAGCAGTTTTACCTCTTAGTCTCTGTAGTTTGTTTGTGGCATCTATTAATAGATCTTTTGCCTCCTGGCGTAGTTGCTCAAACTTCTGATGAGCATTAAACACACCTGCTGCCTTTTGATCTATTAGACCACTGACCAGTTGGTATTTAGGTTGCACGTGTGAGTCAAACTCCTAAAATAGACAAATATACAAATGCTGCGTGTAAGGGTCAAAAGCATATAAGAGCGTCCCAAATTTAAAACAAATAAAAAGAAATAACCAAAGGTTTTGAAAAACAAAAACAAACAAAAAAACTGCTGTATGGCTATAATCATATGTATTCAAGAAAAGTATCAGTTTAATGTCTGTGGTGTAACCAAGAAGGTAAAACTAATATTTTTCTTACACCTTAAATATATTTAACATGATATATATTTGATATTTATATCTTAACATTTAAAATGTTTTTAAATATATTTTTTCCAGGTAAAAATATGATAAATTGTTCATTCATAGTTAATAATTCAAGTTTTAGGAGAGAGTTCCACCACACGATTTCTTAACTGAACTAACCTTGCCTTTTAATATAAGGACTAATAATAAAAGATTATGCCAAACTACTTGATAAAGTTTTATTTTCTGGACATTCCTTCTTTATTCTTCATGATGTATCACTCTAACATTTTTAACTTTATGTCCCCCAAAGCATTATCTAAATGTATTGTAATACATTAAAAACATGTTCAACATATTATCGTGTAGGCTATTCAAGAATCTGTATGTGTAAATTTCATTTGAATGTATTTTTTAAATAAATTAACAACATCACTGTTAAAAGCTAGTTACCCGTTCTGTGTGCTCGATTTCTGCTTTGATGTTTTCAGTTTGTCTCTGAGTTTGATCTGCACTACTGGACGTTTCTAGAGTTTTCTGTTGGAGTTGGTCAACCTCTCTCTCAAGATCCAGAAACTTTCCTGTGCTGCTACTCAGTTTGAACTCAGTCACTTCACTTCAGTTGATTGTACCCGTAGACACACATTTTATAGAATAAAAAAAAAAAACAGATTATGTTTAAAGGACACATAGGGATTTTAAAGGTATATATACTCACATCAGTGATTTGTGGTTTGGTTGGCAGCAGTCTGAGCACGCACAGTATCTTCTAGAGTTTCCTTCACTTCATCAGTGGCCTGTTTCAGTGCTGTAGCTCTCTCACTGTGATACACACACAAACAGAGGTGCGGGAAGATGTTTTCAGTTGGGGGTGCTGTGTGTGTCCGTGCTGGGTGAAAGGGAGGGGGGGGCACCTCATTTGACAACTCCACAAAGCACTACAAGCGCGTCGATATGAACATTCGTTTAAGTGTCATACACACTGGGAAATTTGACTGCATATCACATTTTTGAAATGATCGATAGTAGCTGATCAATCTCGGGGGTTGGGCTGGGTCCGCTAGGCTTACTTGTCTCCGTGCTCGTGCTGTGTCTGGTTCC